GGCGAAGTATCTGCAGATTCCGACTGACATCGGGGCGTTTGCCAAGATGCTTTCCAAACGAAAAGTCCAGCGAATCGATGCCGGAAAGTGCGGCGACCGGACGTTTATGTTGATGCTTTCGGCAGGATTCGAGGCCGAAGTTGTCCATCGAGTTCATCGTCAACGAAACGGACACCTCACGAAACTGCACTACGTCCGCCCCACGTTTCAAATGTTGGCACAATATGAATATCCGCAGTTAGAACTCGATATCGAGTTGGAAGATGGAACGCGGACGCAAACCGAAGGATACTGGGCCTTCGCGTTCAATGTGCCTCGTTATGCGCTCGGCCTGGAAATGGCTCCGAACGCCAAGCCGGACGATGGCATTCTCGATATCTGCGTTTTGACGCAAAAGGGATTTTGGTCGACAGGGTCGTATATCACATCGCTTCTATCCGGAACCCTCGGCCGTCGGAGCGACGTGAAGACGTTTCGGGCACGGTCTGCCATCCTTACATCACCAACGATTCCTATTCCGCTGCAAACCGATGGCGATCCTGCCGGATTTACCGATACGACCATTTCCGTTCAGCCTAGCTACTTGCCGTTGATTGTGCCGCAACATAAATCACGATAGGCACCTCGGCCGGCGTATCCCCAAGCACTTCCCTTCTTAGTGATGGGAATTTCGCTTGTCTCGTGTCAGAATAGAGTGACTGAACTGACCGGGCCTCCTCTTTGCGAAGAATTAACCAGAGGCACCCTGGGAGAAAGCTTGGCGGGAAAATAGGATGGATACTTCCCCTCTTTGAACGAGATCGCACTTGAACCCATCGGCCACCACAACCTCGACGTTTTCCCTTAATACCGAAGGGAAACTGCTTCTTATTGCTGGACCGTGCGTCCTTGAGTCGCGCGACTTGGCATTTCAAATCGCGGAACAAATCTGTGAAATCGCACAGCGGTATCCTGTTCAATACGTTTTCAAAGCGTCATTCGATAAAGCGAACCGTACTAGCATTCATTCGTATAGAGGTTTGGGCCTACAAGATGGCCTGAAACTTCTCGAAGCCGTTCGTAACGAATTCAATGTCCCAGTCACGACCGACTTTCATGAGTCGCAACAAGCGGCGGCCGTCGGTGAAGTGTGTGACATCCTTCAAGTGCCCGCGTTCCTTGCTCGGCAAACCGATCTCCTCGTTGCCGCAGCTCAGACCGGCAAAACGGTTAACGTGAAGAAGGGGCAATTCATGGCCCCTTGGGACATGAAACATGTCGTCGAAAAGCTTCGCGAGGCTGGTGCCCACGAAACATTGCTGACCGAGCGAGGGACATTCTTCGGTTACGGCCGGCTTGTCAACGACATGCGAAGTCTTCCGCAGATGCGATCGCTTGGCGTTCCGGTGGTATTCGACGCGACGCACAGCGTCCAAGAGCCTGGCGGGCTTGGCAGTCAAACCGGCGGTAACCGAGAAATGGTAAAGCCACTTGCGATGGCTGCCGCAGCAATGGGCATTGATGGCTTGTTCCTGGAAACGCATCCCAATCCGGATCAATCTCCGAGCGACGGCCCGAACATGGTGCCGCTGGCGGAATTGGAATCCTTAATCAAACGTGTATTGGCGGTTCGCGACGCGGCCCAAGGTTAAATATCCTCCCATGACTTGCACTCATCGAATCGCTGTCTTCGCTTTGCTGACCATCATGGTGATGGCTGGCTGTGATAGCCGCAAAGTTATTCGCCCTCAAGTCGACAATACTCAAGCGAATATCTCGACCGATGCCGGAAGCTCGAAGCAGTTCGTCGATCAGGCACTGAACTACCTGAGCGATCTCGATCGTTATCCCGCAGGTCGCGTCAAAGTTGAAGTGCTTCAGCGAATGAATCGCTGGTTGATGTCGCAAAAGTTAGATCCGACCTGGAAACCTGATCCCATGGTCGAGCAACTCCCGGATGAGATCCGCAGCCTGCCGCGGATGCAAGACTTAGAGAGTCGCTACTTCTTGGATCAGCCATCGCAATTTCCCGAAGCGATTTTTCGTGGAAGCGAGTTCGATTTCCTCGTAGGTACCTACTGGGCGAAAACGATCTCGGATTGGATTCGGGATACGAAGATACCTCCCGCCGACATTCAGGAATTTCTGAATGCACAAAAAAATCAGACGCTCGACGAGGGGCAAACGAACGATCTTGGGTTGGCCTACTTATTGTTTGACTGGACAGTCCGACACATTCACCCGGTTCGTCCCTTGGAATTTGAAGAAGGCAAGTTCGCGCCCGGCACAAGTCGCGATGTCTGGAATGCCATTCAGCTGAACGAAGGAGACGCCCAGGAACGAGCCCGGGTCTTTATCCACCTTTGTCGCCAGCAAGGACTCGACGCAGTGATGGTCCAGTTCGGCGACAAGGATCCGCAAGTTGTTGGTGTTGCCATTGGATCAGAACTGTTTCTGTTTGATATGGCATACGCACTTCCCCTCTCACTCGCCGATGGGAGCGGTATTCAAAGGCTTTCGCAACTTGTTGATAACCCGGAAGCCCTTCAGGCGATGGCTTCCGAGAACTATAAATATCCGGTCACCGAGGACGACCTGAAGAACGTCACGCTGTTGATCGAAGCACCTTCGACGTCTCTGACCCAGGCAACCGACTTGCTGGAAGGTGTTCTGTCTGGTGACTCGACTTTAAAGGTTCACGTTCAACCGTCTTCGATCAAAGATCGACTGGCGAGCTTTAAGGGGGTAAGCGACGTTCAATTGTGGACGGTTCCGTTCGAAGCGGAACAGGCTATCGCCAAACGTCTTTCCGACACAACGCTTGGGCCGCTCTATCAAGTCGAACGATTCATCTACGACACCATGACGCCATTTTCGACAGCTCGCAATTTACAGCTCCTCTGTCGTTTCCGAGACGAGGCGCAAAGCAAAGGGGCTCGGTCGATGCTGATGGATGCGCGCATCATGGAACGGCAA